CAAAAGCCAAAATAGACAAATGGGACCTAATTAAGCCCAGAGCTTCTGTACAGCAAAAGAAACAATCATTAGCGTGAACTGGCAACAAACAGAATGGGAAAAAATTTTTGCAATATACCCATCTGACAAACAATGGGCTAATATTCAGATTCTACAAAGAGCTAAAACAGATTTACAAGAAAAAAACAACCCCATCCAAAAGTAGGTGAAGGATATGAACAGACACTTTTCAAAAGAAGACATGTATGAAGCCAACAAACATGTGCAAAATAGTCATCATCACTGGTTATTAGAAAAATGCAAATCAAAACCACATTGAGACATCACCTCACATCAGTTAGAATGGCGATCATTAAAAAATCTGGAGACAGATGCTGGAGAAGATGTGGAGAAATAGGAACACTTTTACACTGTTGGTGGGAGTGTAAATTAGTTCAGTCATGTGGAAGACAGTATGGTGCTTCCTCAAGGACCTAGAAACAGAAATTCCATTTGACCCAGCAATCCCATTACTGGGTATATACCCAAAGAATCATAAATCGTTCTATTATAAAGACATGCATAGGTATGTTAACTGCGGCACTGTTTACAATAGCAAAGACAAGGAACCAACCCAAATACCCATTAATGATAGACTGGACAAGGAAAATGTGGCACATATACACCATGGAATACTATGCAGCCATAAAAAATTAAAGAGTTTGTGTCCTTTTTGGGGACACTGATGAATCTGGAGATCATCATTCCCAGCAAACTGACAAAAGAACAGAAAATCAAACACCACGTGTTCTCACTCATAGGCAGGTGATGAACAATAAGAACACATGGACACAGGGAAGGGAGTATCACACACTGGTCTGTTGGCGGGGGCCAGGGGAGTGAAGCGGGAAGGCAGGTAGGGAGGTTGGGGAGGGATAACGTGGGGAGAAATGCCAGATATAGGTGAGGTGGGATAGAAGCAGCAAACCACATTACCATGTATGTACCTATGCAACAATCCTGCATGATCTGCACATGTATCCCAGAACCTAAAGTACAAAAAAAAAAAAAAATTAGAAGATTGCAGCCACACCCTTGGCATGAAGAATATGTGTGTAATACAATTTTAAGTAGAGCCTCTCAGCTCCACCTAACAGTCCCATTGCCTTTCTCACTGGGTCACCTATCTGCTTTGTCTAAAGAGTGACATAAGAAGGCCACTATGTCCTCTCTGGAGCTACAGCCAAGTTCAGTTCAGGGCTACAGAAAACCATGAGATCCCTTACTTCTCTTATGGGGGATTTATTAGCTTGGAAAAAAAAATATTGGAATCTGAAGATAAAGATTTTCTTCTTCCAAAAAAAAAAAAAATTTATACTAGTATACCATGCTGAATAATATATTAACTACTTTCTTCCTTTCACAGAACTTAAATATCTTATTCCTACTCCATGAAAAAATATTACCAAAATAGATTTCTCTCCTTTATGTTGTCAGCAAGAATAAATTATAAGAAAGTACTACTATGTCTATTTAAATATATTAAACACATATTAGCTTTCAAAATTTTAGAAGATAGGGCTATAATATAAAGGATATAAACAAGACAGTGGAATGGAGTAAAATATTAGTGTCAATTATTTCTTATATAGAGAGCTTTGGAGAAACAAACATGAGAAAGAATACATAAAACCTAAGAAGTATTCAATTCTTTATTAAGGGAAAATATTTCTTAAATGTCTGTCTTTTTTTTTGTAAGAGGTTGTATGTTGGTGCTGGTTCTCACCTAAACATATATTTGACATCAGATTTATGAATTGCTTAGGACTGAATCTCTCTTAAATGACTGAAAGATTTTTCATTATTATACATATTGTATTGCACATGTGTGTTTTAATTAGTACTGAGTAGATAGCGTGCAAAAGGTCATGTTAAACCTGAAATGCATGAGCAATGGGTTTAATCCGCAAAGATATCATGGTACTGACATAAAATACAGAAATGATTATGTGATTTGTGGATGGAAATGATGCTCTTTCGGCCATCAAATTTTATTTATCAAAAATGGATACTTGGTTTTGGTTCAACTCACTTGATCCATTATAATAAATGAGTATAGCATAATAATGTATTGATGTTCATAGGAACACAGTGCAGAGAATTACTCATTACCTCTGAGAGCTATATCTTTATGGTTCTACTAAGTTAAAAAATTATTGGTGCTATCACAGTGAAATTTTAATCTAGATATAAAAATTTAATTATGAGAATAACTTTCGTAAAATTATGTGAAATGAAGCAAAGAGTGCTAGAGACAGAACTTCAACAAGATCTCTGTGGTTAAAGAAAAAGGAGATTGCTATGTTGCAAACAAAGATGCAGAATGATTGAACTTTCAATTCTTTCCTTTTTATTTGTATTTATTTTTATCTTTTTGAGACAGAGTTTTGCTCTGTCACCCAGGCTAGCATACAGTGCTGTGATTTCGGCTCACTGCAGCCTCTGCCTCCCAGCTTCAAGGGATTAGTCTGCCTCAGCCTCCCTAGTAGCTGGCATTCAGGTGCCCACCACCACGCCTGGCTAATTTTTTGTATTTTTAGTAGAGGTCAGGTTTTGCCACTTTGGCCAGGCTGCTCTCGAACTCCTGGCCTCAGGTAATCCCCCGCCTTGGACTCTCAAAGGGCTGAGATTATAGGCACAAGCCCCCATGCCCAGCCTAAACTTTCAATTCTACCAAGTCTATTTCTCTTTTAAGTAAAATATCCATTGCCTTCTCAACCTAATTATTTTATCTTAACATGTTTAATAAAGCAATAATTCCTATAATACATTTACATAGTCTATAAATTATATATACATATGGTTATGCTGTTTTACTCTACTCTTCACAGAAATTTATGTGTAATATGTCTAGTAACTCAAATAAAAACATATAGTGTCATATATTTTAAAACTCTAAACCAAACTCATATATGCTATACCATACAGATATTGAAAGAAAATGAATATAAATTTGACCTATAGTTTTTTTTGTTGTTGTTTTTTGTTTTTGCAGTTTTTTGAACTGGAAGATGTTTCATACACTTTTACTGTTTCTTACATTCAGATATTCAAATGTGTGTAATCCAATACTACTTTTTAAAGTACTTAGATTGAATTCTTCCAAGATTGAATTGAATTGTGTGTGTGTGTGTGTGTGTGTGTGTGTGTGTGTGTTCCTGTATGAACCATCATCTTTATGTTATTATCAAGAGAAAGCAGAATTCTCATTGGGTATGAACTATACTTTAAACAGGATTTGGACATATCTCTTGAATAGGATGATTTCAGACATATCACTTGATTAAGATGATATAATTAATTTAAAATATTTTATATCTTTTACAAGATAAATTTCTGCAGCATAATTACACCTATGGCTAAAAAACTGACTTATTTCTTTTAAAACTGCAGAAATAAAACTTTTGATATAAGGCTGAAAGAGCTGAGTTGTAATATGAGACAGGCAGAAAATGATATTAACTTTAGTAGTTTTGTTACAACTATGTTTAATTTTGCAAAGTAAGTGTATTATTCAAAATGTAGGAAGTTACTTTTAAAAATCATCTTAGTTTAGTCATACCAGTAAAATCTACCTTTAAAAGAAAATATGTGCATCATCTATGTGTGTATCTTTGCTCAGTGCTTTACATGTAGCCAGAAGAGTTGCAAAACAGCTTTAGCAAAAAGCTATATATATATATCTCCAAATCACAAATTCCAAATCCTGATATTGTGAGTTTTAATATAGCTTACATATGAAAGCACTTGTATATTGACATTGACATAGACGTGGCATACTGCCTAGATGGTGAGGATGGTATTGGAGGACATTTTCATAGTATTTCATTATCCACAATGTAAACTCAAAGAGGGTAAGTATCGTTCTATGTTTTGATCACTGAAATGTCCCTACCTCTAGAACATTATATTGTACATAGTGAGTATGCAATGAGTATTTATTGGATAAATGAATGCAGATTTGTAAATGATCACCCTACATTAAAATGAGAATGTAGGGATTTGGATGTTACTTGTCTAAGGGAAGTATGACAAAAGCCTAATAAGTGAGTTGTTAAGGCAGTGCTGTTGTCTTTCAATAAACAATTATACTGTTAAGTGCTAAATTACTGATAAAAGTCAGCAGGTAACCAGATTTATATGTCCTAAAGGATTTACAAACATCTTATATTGTGTATAATTTCTTGAGAAATCCTTCTATGATTTACAGATTATTTCCATATGAGATTGAAAAATAAGGTACTATAGTATCAATTTTACTTTGTAGATTTTTTTATCTACTCAGTAAACACTTTATAAATTCTTTCCTTCAGCAGTGTGCTTATTAGAAATGTAACTGCATAGACATGGCTGTCATGATTCCTGCCCCTGGATGTTTCCTTCTGTGACAAAATTAAGTAAAAAAGAAAAACAAAAACAAAAAATCCCAAATAGACATATAAAATTAAATTCTTCTTGATAAGTGCTTTAAAACAAACTAAATGGAGAATGGGAATTTGGGGATTGAAAGACTTTGCAGTTATACTGATTAGATGAGCCAGTTTTGAGGAGGTGGCATTTAAGCTGAGATCTGAAAGTTGCAACTTAAACTCATAAAGGGACTTTTGCCATTGGAATAGCTTCTGGAATATCTGCACAGGCGGGACACGGGAAGAGAAAAAGGAAAAGGGTTATTCCACCATCGATGTACAACAATCAGTAGAGTTGGAAATGCTTGCGTCTGATAGTTAATACCCACTTATGAAAATGAGAATATGCCGTCAAGAATTGTTATGAGTCATTATTATCTCATTTTTTTTTTACGTTGTCTGCCAATGTTTGGGACATTAAATTAACTCTCTAAGATAGAGCAAACAAATTAAATTTTTGACAATATCCAAACAAATACAATACAATTTTATATAAGTCTGACTATATTTCTATTTTCTATTTGATTTGTTTATTTTATACATGTTTCCCAGGATAGTCCACTGGTCTTACAGTCTGACAGAAATGTAACAGTGAATGCAAGAAACCACATGGGGCAGTTAACTGGACAGCTGACTGTAGGTGAGTGTTTTGGGGTAAATGTTGCTCCTACTATGCTTGTTCTAACTGAGAAAAGTAGAAGTATGTTATTTCTCTGATATGTAACTCAAGATCCCATTACAGCCCAATTTTCTCGCACATGATTTGACATGTCATAGGTTAGTTATGTGCCTTCTATTTGGTAGTTATTACTCTTGTCAATGTATTATTATGAGATTGTATTACATTTATTTTGCTGGTCATTACTCTTGAATTATGAAATGCACCATTTTTTGTAATAAGTATTTTCATAGTTATGTTAATATTGTGGTTAATAAACAAACATATGAGATGATATATCATCATTAGGTCTATGTATCCCTTTTTAGGAGTAAATATTTTCTAATAAATAGTATCTGCTTATATAAATGAGAAATTGCATGAGCTGAGAATAATAAATATTAACATTTATCAATTACGTCTACATTTGATGTTGAAATTTTCTATATTTAAGATTTATAGCCTTTAGGTTTTGTTAATATAAATTAATGGTGAAGTGTTAGTTTTTGTCATGTCAAATAAATACTTTAATTTTGAGATTTGTATTATATCAAAATATAACAAGGCAAATAAGAAGTAATTTGTAATTTAAAGTTTTGATACATATGTAGATTCTGAATTATTTTTATAACACTGTATTGGTTCTGTGGGGAAATTTCTTAACATTAACATTATGTATCTCTTTATATCTATCTGTACATGCATATAGAGAGAGAAAAAAGAGAGAGAGAGGGAAAGAACAAAGTAAATTACAATTTTGAGGACTAAGGTATTCCTATTTTAATGAGAAATTAATCATCATTGAAATGCAAATGTGTATTTCCAATATTTCTATTTAAATTTTGCAAAAATGTCATATTTGAAATGTGAGATTTAGAAACACAAATTTTGATTCTGTGTACTTCATTTGTAGGCGTATGAAATAATTTTTATATTTGTTTTGATGAAAACAAAAGGATAACATTTTAGCACATAAGAATTTTCTAAACATATAATTTTATTTGTAAAAATTGTTTCACTTTACATCATAAAAGTTTATCATTACATATCTATTAATTGCTACAACTAAATAATATTTTGTGATAATTAGAGATATATCAGTCATAAAGGGGTGTTATTAGCAAATGGATTCAAGATTAAATGCAAGAAATATGTGTATAGATATAGAACTGATTCAGAAGCAGAGGCCATTCACTTAAATATTCATGCTAATTCACTCCTGTTATGTTGAAACTGCAGAAACTATAAGCCTATACAAACAGGTCTAACCTGGGCAGATTTTCCATATCCTAATTTTATTAAAGTTGAGAACTCTTCAGCCAGATAGAACCTTCTTTTTCTTTCAGTCCTTGATATAAAAAATTCTTAGTAGAAATGTCAGAATGTAAATTAAGTGCACAAAGAGTATATGCCCATGCCCACTGTCAGACAAAATAGCTACATAATTCCTGCCTGTAGAGCAAAGTAATCATTTGATTATGTGAAGTGCAGATACGGTTTGCATTTCACTGCATGCTTTCCTGCAGGAAATAAAGAATATAGTATGCTTGTATTTTCAGTTACCCTTCCAAACTGATTTTAATGCTATATTGATATTTGCCAGATAGGAGAAAATAGCAAGAGAAGAGGGAGAAAGAAAAAAAGTTAAGCTTAATTTTAAATGTGACAAATCATTAAGTTAATGACACAGCCTTATTGTGCAGAAAAATATGTTTATACTTAAAAATTGTTTAATACCCTGTCCTTTGAGTGTATTTTTGAAGACTTATGTATTTATACTGGTTTGCACATTTTAATGAACATAGAGAAAACAAAAGAAGACTAGGGCTGTGTGAAGGGAGATAATGTATTCATATTTGAAACAAAGCTGTAGGGAGATACTTAGTAGTTGGTTGGGTGCCAGCAAAACAGTTAATCTTTTGGACGCTCAGTTTTCCCATCTCTAAAATGGGAATAATGTCACATTTTGAATGCTGTTATAAGAATTAAGGTGATTTTAGTATCTACAAATAGCAGGTAATTATATATTGAATTTATTATTGTGATGATGGTTAGTGTAATTATTGGTATCACTTAAGTTAAAATACAGTGATATAGGAGAAATCTCATGATGATTTTCTATTCAATGTATCTGTGTGATATTAGTTAAGGTTGAATTCTGATACTCTTGCAGAGATATGTTAAAAAACACAACACAGTGTATCCGATGCTCAGAAACTCTTGAATCATGTAAGAATAAATTTATCTTTGTGTAGTATTTGAAGACATGCTTGAATGAATCAAGCAATGTAGAAAATTAAAATTTATTTCTAAAGACTCTAATTGTAATTGTATAGGAATATATAAGTAGCTGTTCTAACCCTCTTTTTAATTCGTTTTCTTTTTCTTTCAGTTTTTGTTTATGCATATGACCTTGATTATAGTATAGTCATGATACTATTTTGCAATATTTAAAAAATTACCACACAAACCAAATAATTACAGAAAATAATTTCAGTTACTCTTCATTTTCTAAGTAAAACAATTCTATGGTCTATCAGTAGACTGCATCAATTTATATTAGTATAGTCAATTCTGAAAATATAACAGAATTTGAATATTTTTCCAGATTTTATTCTCATTGTACCATTTTTCCTCAAAAGTCTATGTGTATAGTTTCAGCAAAGCAAATATCAATTTATCTTGCACCCTGACTTTTTCTTCTCTACAAGCCTAGCTTTCTACTAATTCAATTCACAGGGATATATGTAGTCCAGTGATTAGGCCAACCCCTGTGCTAATTCTAATTCTGACTCACTGACAGAATTTAAAATCAAATTATTTCTAATACAATAAATGCAAAAGAGAAATATTTTCTACATACACTGGCTCCAGCGTAATGAAAACTAAATCTAAGTATTTTAAAACTTTAGGTAGAAAAATCAATTTGACAAATATTTTTGTGAATTTATGAAGTTCCAGGCTTTATGAATTTGACCAGATAATATCCAATTTCCCTCATTAAATCTAAAATTCTAATTTTCATGACCTTCATAACATTGGAGGAGATTAATGAACTCAAGATTTCTTCCTCCAAATTTCTCTTCTTAGAATAAAGCTGAAAGAGAGGAATGAGATTGTTGTTGAGAAGTGGTTAAAGAAAGTACAACATCCCAAGAGGTCAGACTCCTTGAAGAAAAATCAAGAACTTTCTTAAACAAGTCTCAGAATCATTCTCCAGGTCAAAATTTTCTATTATTTAATCTATAATTACTATGCTTTTGTTAGCAGAACATTATTTTTCTTTTATAGGTGAAAAAAGTATGTGATTTTAGGTGTGTTATATATATTCATATATGTTGATATGATATTTTTCATGACTTTCTTTCAAAAAAGTAGGTAAAAGATGTAAATTATGCACCATCTTTGTGAAGTTCATTATATTATCTCAGGAAACGATTACAATATGTGATATGTAGTAGAACTCTTTTATTTATGGTAGTGTAAAGAAAAATTATCATGCAGTTTTGATATAGACTTTGTTTACAACACTGCTAATAGTAATTAATGCGTTAGTAATTTGGCTCACTTAAAATGTAATAATCTTTCCCACCATATCATGAGGATAATTATATTTTATTTACCAATAACATTGAATTGATATTCAACAGACTTATTTATTATAAGTAGTTTATGAAGTATAGGTTGATTTCCGTAAAATAATCTCTCCTTTAAAAAGCTTAGCCAACATAGGTTTTATTAAGCTACAGATTCCTTTTTCTTGTATTACAAAATATATTTTATTTTTGATAGGGCAAGGGCTTCATCAAAATATATTTTATATTTGATAAAATGTTATATTAGGTTTAACATATATTATTAAACCTAATATTTTCCTTTCTCATATGCCTTATGCCATCAGTCTGTAGCTGAAGGATAAAAAGGAAAGGAGGATAAACTCAGAAACTGGAAAAAGATTTACCTTCACTGGTAGAGCTATCTTTGTTTTTGTTTCTGTTTATTTAGTTAGCATCCCCTCATTCTGATTTAAATATTTCAGTCACAACGACTTTTGAGATACTCATCTTGGCTACCTATGGGGTCCTATGTCATAAGCAAGAAGTTCCACAATACCACGTCTTTATTATTATCCCAGTAAAACATTAAGGTTAATTGGGAATTTAAAAACTGTATGTGATGGTTCTGAAATTTTAGTTTTAGAGTGTGCTTAAAACCACAAACTTATGCTTTAAATAGGATCTCATATTTCATCGTAAGTCTCCCTGTTTAATGCTCAATAAATTTGGAAGAATGAATTCAGAACGAATTAATACCTAGGAAAGACCTGCTGTTATTGTCAGAATCATTTACTTATTTTTGATATTCTCATTTCTACTTATCAAAACTCAGTGGAATTACCAAATTATATAAAAATCTTAATTACAATCTTTAATTTCTCATTTTCTGCTTTTTCTAAGTAATTCTTGAAAGCTTAAGCCTTACATAAGCCTGACTATATGTTAATAAGAAAGAATGTCATTTGCAAGCTATTAAACAGAATGATATTTGTATTTATTATGAGTTTCTCTTTTTCGTATTTTATACTTTGAGCAATTAACATCACTTAACAGTAGAAACTGTTGTAGACAGCTTCTGCAATAGAGTTGACTCTGGTTTCTTCAGAGGTCTGAGGTGCTTGCTTTCCTTTTGCAAGAAGGTTTATGAAGGCAGCAAGTGGAGATGATGATAAGGTATCAAGATCGATCATCTGCTTTTCTCAGAGTGTGTTAATCAGCTAAACACATAAAAAATCAAAATTAAGTATATATATATTGATTACATTAGGCATTAGGATTCTGAGAGTAAATAAAAAAATTTTTTTTTGGATTTTTTAGTCAATATCTATTAGTAATACCATCCATATTATGAAATAACTTCCCTTTTTAAACTATATGTTTATAAAAAGCTACACATATATTTAAAGTTTCTATTAGTAAATATTT